CACCAACAGTGAATCAGGGTTCCAGTTTCTCCACAACCTCGCCAGCATTTGTTGCTTGCTGTTCTGCTAAATTTTGCTATTTTGACTGGGGTGAAATGATATCTCATAGTTGTTTTAATTTGAGAAGTGCACTTCTATAGGGTGACAAAGGGCAAAATTTATTGCACTTTTCAGTAGTAAATCAAGGATCATGATTGTAGTAAAGGATTATAAGATACAATGCAAAATGAGATGCAATGTCAACTATGTTAAACACATAGTACAATTCTGACTGTTAAAAGCATTACTTTGCATACAAGAAAGGCAGAAAAGAAAAACCCAATATACCAAATGTGGTTGGAGTCCAAGTCGTTTCCATACAATTTTCAGTTAAAAACAATTATGTACAATTATCTACAATGTTGTTTTACACTCTGAGTGGAAAAGACTAAACCCATTTTAATGGAACTGATTCTGACTTTGTGGCCCTATAAAAGAAAACTGCCTCATAATGTTTCCAAAGTTAAACTTTTGATGAGTATTAAAGTGCTTTATCTAACGAGCCATCAGGATTTCTACTTTTCATATGTGAAAAGATAATTCAATTTGATGTTGACCATCCAAATAAAACTCAAAAAACAAAACCACTTCAAAACAGCCCTTTCTTGAAACTTTCCAATGAAAATAAATTTTATATAAACAACTCACATAACAAATATAAAAATTAAAATCCTAACTGAAGGATATTTAGTTATTTATCACCTACTTGTTTGTATCAGAACAGGAACAGTAGAAAATAAAATCCACGAGTATATGGCAGTAATAAAACACACATGTGTGCCTTTAATAAGGTTTCTCCCAAGTATAAATGTTCTCATAGACACAAACAGAAATTATGTAAGACTCCTTTCTCACAATGATTACCATCGAAGAGTCTCTCCAGTGTGTGAGATCTCATAGGTATCCTGAAGGTGCCCATCAAATTTCACTCTCCTAGGATCAGTCCACAATGGACCTTGCATTCACACGAGTTCTCTGTCCACTATGATGGCTCATAGGTTCAGATGAGTTTCCCAAATGTACAAATTTGAATGACTCATTTTCTTACATGCTATATTTAAGTTGTTAATCTGCCATGTGTCTACGTTCAGGTGGGCAAAGAGAAAATACACAAAAGTTATCCAATGATAATACTTAATAGACCTGTATGGGTTTTTCTTCTGTTCTTCTATATACTAACCTAGATGTGTTCCAATGAATAAGAACCATCTGGAGACTTTCACATCCACTTCTTTACACTCATAACACTGTCCATTGTGACTTATTAGATTTTTAGAGACACAAAGAAAAACTAGAGGCTTCATTGCATTCCTCATATAGTTTCTCTCCACCGCTAAGCCTACTTTTGTGTTTCTGAGGTAAGAGGGATGAGCAACAGTTTTCCCAGATTAGTTACATTCATAAGGTCCATCCCCACCGTAAGGTTACTGAAAGTTAATAAGGACTGAGAACTGGCTAAATGTTTCGTCACATTCATCACATTAATAAGCCCTCTCTCTCCACTGTGAGTTGTTAAATGCGCAGTGAGGTGGGAGAACAACGTAAAGGTTTTCCCACATTTTTTACATTCATAAGGCCTCGCTCTACTGTGAATTCTTACATGTTTGGTGAGGGCTGACGACTGGCTAAAGGCTTTCCCACATTCCTTACATTCATAAGGTCTCTCGCCACTGTGAGTTCTCCTGTGTGTGGTGAGGTTGGAAGATTGCCTAAACACTTTCCCACACTCTTGACATTCATACGCTCTCTCTCCACTGTGAGTCCTGAGATGTGTAGTGAGGTGTGAGGACTGGCTGAAAGCTTTTCCGCACTCCTTACACACGTAGGGCCTCAGGCCACTGTGGGTTCTGATGTGCTCGGTCAGGTACGTGGATCGACTAAAGGCTTTCCCACATTCCTTACATTCATAAGGCCTCTCTCCACTGTGAGTTCTTAAATGCTGATTGAGGGACGAAGAATCACTAAAGGTTTTCCCACACACCTTACATGGATAAGGTCTTTCTCCACTATGTATTCTTTTATGTGTAGTGAGGTGTGAAGAAGAACTAAAAGCTTTTCCACATTCTTTACACTCATAAGGCCTTACTCCACTATGAGTTCTTATGTGTTCACTGAGGTATGATGAACGACTAAAGGCTTTCCCACATTCGTTACATTTATAAGGTCTTTCTCCACTGTGAGTTCTAATATGCTCAGTGAGGTATGAGGAACGACTAAAAGCTTTTCCACATTCTTTACATTTATAAGGTCTCACAATGCTATGTGTTCTTATGTGTATAGTGAGGGATGAGGCCTGATTAAAGGCTTTTCCACATTCCTTACACTCATAAAGCCTCTCTCTGTGAATTTCCTCATGTGCAGTGAGTTGTAAGGAATCACTAAAAGCCTTTTCACATTCATTATATTCATGCAGCTTATCTCTGTTATGAATTTTTTCAGGCACAGCGACAAATGAAGGGCTACATGGTTTACAACAATTTTTACATTTCTGCTCAGATGAAAAAATTAGGAAATCCTTTCCACATTTGTTACATTCACAGGGTTTCTCTCCATTTACTATGGTCATGGGATTATAAAGGTTTGAGACACAAATGAAATCTTTGCCACATACTTTACATTTATCAGATTTCTCTCCAGTAAATGTTCTCATAGAACAACTGCAAGCTTCTCTACATTCCTTAGATTGACTAGTATTACATCCAGTATTTAGTATGTTAGGATGTGTACTTGAAGAGTTGTCCATGAAGACCGGTTCACACTCACAGCATTCAAAAGGATTTACTTCTGGAGAATTTCTGTTCAACCCAGTAAGATCGGAAATCTGGCTGAAGGTTTTTCCACATTGAGTGTTTTCATGACTTGCACAGAGGCTCTCTACTGGACGCATTCTGTCAAAAATAAGGAACGCACTGTTGGACATATATTCTCATTTCACTATTAACCAAACTCTGTAAACATGCATGGTTTTTGTATTGTTTGACATATTAAGTCAACTAACAGAAATATTAACATTATTGTTACTGATTTTTTAAAATATTATGCTTTGTGATAATTCTGTACAAGAAAAGTGTATTTTAAGTACTCATTATCTGACTCACCTATATGAAAATGTTACGGTGTCTCAGAACAAATAATTTTTGAACTAAAAGGTGTGTGTGTATCTATCTTATACATGTTATCATTTTTCTCCAGAGGTACTGTGTTCACTTCTTTAAACAGCACTCACCTCAAATGTTCCTCCTGGGTTTTAGACTGATCTTCGCTGCCAGATGATTTGAAGATTTCTTCTAACATGGAGGACCAGCAGTTATTCTTCTTGAGTTGAATTATTACATGTTGACTGGATAACTTTTTTCCAAGGGTTTGAGATACTGGCAGAGTGAGTCAAGGTGAGGTTTATAATGTAAAACAAAAAGTAAAGAATTTATTGGGGGTGTGTGAGATGGAAACCTACTATGAATAAAGAAAGACTTATATACATTCTGCTGTATCAGAAAATTGACAATGTTGAAAAAGCCTTTAACTAGGAAAGATTTCTATATGACATAGAAATATATCATACACTATACACAGGTAATATTAATAGAGAAGAAGTAAAGTTAGCCTCCAACATCACAAGAGTGAGGGGGCTGAGAATGCCAGATGAGTGAAAATCGGAAAGCTACAAGTTTATCCTCACTCTTAAAGATAATTTTTTAAAAAATTAATTATTAATTTGGAAGACATTATTTTGTGCTAAATGATGTAAATCTAATTTTCTTTAAGACAGGGCAGGGCCTTTAAAAAGTGAGTGCTTTCCTAGTGCTCTGCAACAAAGTGGTGCTCTGCTCTTGTTAGATCATCCCCTTGGTTTTCTGAGAGAAGACAGGGTGCTCCTGAGAAATGCATGCCACGGGGGAAGTCAGTGCAGAGCAATGAACATTTCACCAACACTGTGCCAACTCTTTGGTCAGTAGGGTTTCAAAGCAGGTTTATACTATATATGTGGAAAAAAAATATCATGCCAATCTTGTAAGAAAATGGATTAGAACTTGATATAATCCCAAACCAGAAATTAATCAGTGCCTCTAAAACAACGCTGGAACAATGTTTACACCTGGAACATTTAAAGAGTCTTCAGTCTTTTAATGTGAACAAGAGAACTCAAAACTCATTTAATATAGAGTTTTATACTGGTGTTACAGAGTTCATTGTAACTCCTGAAACGTGCATCATGAATCCAAACACCATACGTGTGGTTATAATCTCATTTAGAAATAAGTTTTCTTTGTTTTGTTAATGATAGAGTTTTAGTACAGGGCATGTTAAGTCAATCTCTCCTGACATAAAAAAAAAGATATAAAACAAGCTGGTTACACTTGGTTGACAATAACTGGTTAGTTAACAGATTAAGACAGGCTTGGAAGCAGGAGTGGCATCCACTTCCTAAACATGCCTGTGGAAACTCTATAAACTGAGAGAAAGGACAATAGGTATAGAAAAAAGTTAAAGTCTTTTGTTTATGGGGTTAGTAATAGATGGCACTCAACAACAACAATATATATTGCAAAGGCCTTGTCTTCCATTATGGACTTCAACTGGCTTGACGCTGTATGATGTCACTCTTATTTTGGTTGAGAGTCTGTGTCGATTATTTTCATTATTTAAGCCTCATGTTTAGAGTCAGTAAGACCTCCAGGAGGACACTTGAATTTAAGGCCAAGGCCTTGTCTCCATTTTGGAAACTGGGTGAAGCGACTGGACTCTGTAAGACGGGCTCTCTTGTTTTGGTTGAGGGTCATTGTGGAATGTTTGGGTGTTTTTGTTTTTTTGATGTGTCAAATGCAATAATGGTTACCCACGGTGGACAGTGTTTGGTGGAGCTCCCCGATTAAAACAAGCTTGGAAGCAGGAGGAGTGGCATCCACTTGCGGAGTAGCTTGTCTCTGGAAACCGTATGAACTTGGAAAAAAGATGGAAGTAATACAAGTGTTCATGCCTTTCGTTCACAGGGTCATTAGTTGCCTCCAACTCGAAGGCACTTAACGACAACAACAACAACCACCATGAAGAAGAGTTAGAGGCCAACACTGCCATGTCACATGAAAGACTACCAAAGAGTCAGGAACAGGAGATGGAAAATCAAAGACCTTTCCCAGACAAAGTCCTCCCATAGAGCCTGAAGTCAGACTTCTGGTCTCCTAAACGTGAGTAAAGAAATTTATTCATTAAATCACCAACTTGTACTACTGTCAAAGCTGCATCACACAAGTAAGACAATGGGGAAGGGAGGCTATAAGCTCTACAGATCAAGGACCATGCTTGTTTTGTGAATTCCAATCCCACAGACAAAATACTGGGGTAAATGAGTACAATATTTTTTTTCCCCCTAAAGAAATAAAACGATCATTTTTACCTACTGAGGCCAGGTTTCTGAAGGTTTCCAACATCACATCTTGATAGAGTTTCCTCTGAGCAAGATCCAGCAAAGCCCACTCTTCCTGGGTAAAGACCATAGCCACATCCTCAATGATCACTGAGGCCTAAAACATACATATTCCATGTCAGCATGGGGTCACGTGTTCTAATATGAGAGAGAGGAAGAGAAAGGCTGAGAGATCTGGGGAACTGAGAATTCCCAGGATTGGACGTAAGGGTCATTCAAGGTCTACTCCAAGTCATATCCACTTCTGTTCACGATCTAGTCTTTTTCTCATTGACTATATAAATTTCCACCATACTAGAGGGGGATGGGAGGGAAAGTCTCCACAGTTTATGATCAGTTCTAGTCTTCTTTTTTTTCTATGGCCTACAATAGTTGGAAAACATAGAAGTTAGAGAAATGCTTTAATTAATCTCTCACTACCTTGTGAACAAAAAAATTTCCCACTTTCTTCCATAAAGGCCAATGAATGCTCTAGCACACATAAAGGGCAGGTTTGGGTCAGGGTACATTAACAATTGGGAAATCATGGAGACTGGAAATGTTTTTTTCCCTTTGCCCCTCACAGGCATGGGGACAAGCTGTAAAAACAAGCTGGCAACTCAGGGCTCTGAGATGATCATATTTTCTCTAAGAACTCTAGCAGAGTCTACCTGCTAAAACAGGAGTGTTCTTCTGGAGAATTATGAATTTTTTTGTATACCAGTCAAGCACTTTAAAAAAAACTTTGCGGTTGTGCTGTCATCCTTTCTGTTGGTTTTAGAGACATAAGCAAATACACTTAAAAGTTAAAAAGAAACAACAAATGCTGGAGAGGTTGTGGAGAAACTTCCACTGTTTGTGGAAGTGCAAAATGGTGCAACCACTGTGGAAGGCAGTATGGTGCTTTCTTAAAAAGTTGGAAACAGAAATACCATTTGACCCAACAATTCTACTAGGAATATATCCTAAAGAAATGAGAGCTGCCACCCAATCAGATATATGTATGCCTATGTTTATCACTGTGTTGTTCGCAATAGCAAAGAGATGGAAACACAAGTGCCCATCAACAAACAAATGGATAAACTGTTGTGTATTCACACAATGGAATACTACGCAGCACTGAGAAACAAGGAACTCATAAAGTATTATACAAAACGGGTGACCCTGGAGGACACTATGCTGAGTGAAATATCTCAGTCGCAAAAGGACAAATACTGCACAGTGCCACTGTTATAAAATAGGACTGACGTGGGGGTCGTGCGGAAACTAAGATGGGATAAATAATGTACACTGCATTGAAACAAATGAGGGAAAGAACTGTTTAAAAGAAATATATGATTAGGTATTATCTGCATGACAATAGTCCAGAATAAGAGGTGCATAGCAAAATGGACTGGGAGGAGGGGAGGAAATTGTGCAATAATGAAAGAATTTTTTAAAAGAGAAAAGTGAACTGGGGCTCTTCAGTGGGAAGTGTTGTGAAGCTCTGTCTCAAATACTTTGGGCATGTTCTAAGAAGAGGCTTTTCTTTCGAATAGGTGGAGGGACAGCTAAAGATAGGAATTTGCTCTGTGAGATGGATAGTGCCTATGGCAACGGGCTCAAGTGTGTCGGGGAAGAAAAAGCTAGGACAGGGTTTAGAGCTGTTGTTCATAGGGTCAATAGACGACTTGGCGGCACCCAACAACAACACATACGAAAGAGAGTTCTGGTGTCTTAATAGTAAAGAGCTGTGCTCCCAACCCAGATGAATGCAGCTTGAATGGACCAGCTGCTCCACAGGAGAAAGACGGGCAGGCTCCTCCCATGTCATTTACTGCCTCTGAGAACATGCTGGTGTGTCAGCCGTAAGCTGTTTCCACCACTGTGGTATACTACAACAACAACAACAACAACAATTTTATCAAAGAACATCAAAGGGAGCTCTGGTGACCTAGTGGTAAGGAGCTGTTCTGCCAACCCAAAGGCACAAGGTTCAGATCTACTAGCCACTCCTAGGGGGAGAAGATGGGTAATCTACTCATGTGTGATTTACAGCCTCTGAAATCCTGCTGG